TCTGTTGTTATTAGAGTTCTTGATTTTTGCCGTTCTTTCTGGGGTGAGGTGATATCTCAATGTTGTTTTGATTTGCATTTCTTTTATGGCTAGGGATGTTTGTTCCACTGGTTTTGTTCATGGTTTTAAAACTATTCAATTACTGTTTTCTTCTCTATGGTGAATTATTGAAGAATGAGTTTTTTCAACCCTTCCTTTATCCCATCAGAAAGTCTTTTGAAACTAATCAAGAGATCAATATTTTATGCTTAATCCTAGTAAAAAGTTTCAGGGACAGAAAAAAATGTATAAAGCTTAGTGCGTACTCTTTAGTAATTACATTTCAGTTATGAAACAGATTTATTCCCTTGAGGAAAAAAAACTTAAGAATAATACATAATGGCTTCTACCGGTGTTTAAGTTTTATACTTCACCTCTGCAGAGGCACCTTGTCTAAGCATTTCCTTTTTATTTTTATTTTAAAAAGTCTTTTTCAGTGGAGAGGGAACTACAGGACAACAGTAATTACCCGGATGAACCCTGGAGAATAACAGAAGAACAGCGGGAATACTATGTCAATCAGTTCCGGTCGCTTCAGCCGGATCCAAGTTCCTTCATTTCAGGTAGGAACATGATGTTCTTGGACATTGTTCTCACATGAATAGTAGTAAATATCTTGAGAAATAACTTACGTAGAATGGAATATGACAACCTTCTTTGATTCAACTTGTTTTTCTCAAAGATGGAATTTCTTATCAAGTTTAAATTGTGCATATAAAAGTTGCCAATAACATTGGGAAAACTATATTTCTCTTTCAGAGGGGTTAACAGGGAATTGGAGGGGACCTTGTCCAAATCCTGTATCTGTGTGAGCTGAAGCAGTTCTTGAAATGGTAGATAATAACAAATCTGCTTACTTCTATTTAGAATCAGAGCACAGACAGAGTATAGCTTTCCAAAACAAGTGTTTTATGTTTTATACATTCTAGAAGTTCAAACTGATGACCATTTTCTTTGGCTCAAGTTTTTCTCCTCTGTTATTTTTTTTCTGAGAAAAATTAAGATATGGAAGGAAAACTGGCTATTTTTTCCCCCTATGTCATCTTATATATACATATATATGTATATATATTTTTTTCCTTGTTGATTTCTCATATAAAAATCAAGCTGAGAAGAATTGATGTAATTTCTGTGTGCCTACATTTTGCCAAGTTAATGACTAAGCAAACAGTGCAATAAGAGTCTGGAAAAAATTCATAAAATGTTCTTTAATTTTCAAGGATAACAGAGTATTATTTTTTTTTCCGGTCCTGGGGCTTGAACTCAGGGCCTGGGCCCTGTCCCTGAGCCTCTTTGTGCTCAAGGCTAGCACTCTACCACTTGAGCCACAGGACCTCTTCTGGCTTTTTCTAAATAGTTTATTGGAAATAAGTCTCTCTCATGAACTCTTCTGCCTGGGCTGGCTTCAAACCATGATCCTCATATCTCAGTATCTTGAGTAGCTAGGATTACAGGCATGAGCCACCCATACCTGGCAACAGTGTATTCTTGATAATGCTAACATGATGTTTTGAAGTATGGACTAAAACTAGTTTTCTTCCATAAAACAAAGTGTAACTGAGATATATTTGTATAAATAAAAATAAACATCATTTTGTTGATAGTAATGGCTTTCTGGAAGTCAGAATAGTATTGCTACAACAAATTAATGCTACAACATATTAATATTATGGCTCAGAAAAATGAGCAGAAATCCATATTGCATATATTGTCTATTGCTAGCCTTACCTCTTGCTCAATTGACTTTCTTCACAACATATTCAGATATGTAGCCAAACACAAATAGGTACTTGCTAGAAATATTTTTATTTGGAGCTAGGTACCAGTTGGTTATGAGTATAATTCCAGCTATTGGAGAGGTAGAGATTGGGAGGATCACAGTTCAAGGCCAGACCAGACAAAGGTTAGTAAGACCTTGTTTTAACCAATAGTTGAGTGTGGTGGCATGTGCCAATTACCCCAGATGTAAGGGAAGCGTAATTGGAAGGAGAGATATTCAGGCATAAACATAGGACTTTACAAAATAACCAAAGGAAAAAGGCTCGGGGCATTGTGCAATGGTAAAATGGTAAAGTGATTGCCTACAAAGCAGGGGGTGTTGAGTTTAATCTCCAGTACTGAGAGAGAAAGAGAGACAGAGAAAGAGAGACAGAGAGACACACAGAGAGAGACAGAGACACAGATTTAGAGAGAGACAGAGACACAGACGTAGACACAGAGACAGACAGACAGAGAGACAGAGAAGAGGAGAGGAGAGGAGAGAAAAAAGCAGAGCTTCACTGAAAACATTTTCAAGATGCTTATCATATTCCTATTTAGTGGGATTAATGGTATCAGTTTTTGTTCTGCTCATTTTTCTACCATGGCTATTATTTTTTTCTTCGATGGATTTTTACTTAACTCTGAAATTAGTTTTTTTGAAGTTTTAGTAAAATTTTGCAGAGGTTTGCTAAAACTTTTATGAACTTTATGGGAGCTTTTTGCCCTATTTTGACCTAAATATTCTTCTAAAAACTATGAATATGTTTTTGTATATGGAGTTTGAATTCAGAGCTTTTGTTTGTTAGGCAGGCACTCCACCACATGTTTCTGCTTTTGTGTGTGTGCGTGCATGTACACGCCCTGGTCTTGGGCATTGTCCTGATCTTTTGTGCTCAAGGCTAGTGCTCTACCACTTGAACCACAGCTCCACTTCCAGCTTTTTTTGTTTTTAATTAGAGATAAGAATCTCATGGAGTTTCTTGCTCAGACTGGCTTTGAACCTTGATCCTCACATCTCAGCCTTCTGAGAGACTGGGATTACAAGTGTGAGCCACAGGCTCTGGGCCCTTTTTGCTTTACTTATATTTTGAAGAGCAACTTATGTTTATATGCATGGTAGCCTAGATTGTGTCCCTTCTGTCTATGTATCCCATTAGCTGGAATGTCTGTCATATATTACCATCCCAGCTTCTTGATTGAACTGGGGTCCTGACAACTTTTTGTCTGGATTGATCTCAAATTGTGATCTTCCTGATTTCTGCCTGCTCAGTAGCCAGGTTATAGTGTGAGATACTGTGCCTGACTTTGTATGTTGCTTTTATTTTTAATATTTGTGTATTTTTTTGAGGTGCTGGGAATTAAACCTAGAGCCTCATGAGTCTCAGATAAGGTATACATTGCTTTGTGTGATTTCTTGAGGATTAAATATGTCTGTGGCTACATGGTAATGATTGCTGAATGGAAAAAAATGGGGATCCACTTGCATATAAATTAAAAACTGCTCTAGATAAGTAATTACTGGTTTATTTAAACAATGGCTCTTGACAGGATCTGTGGCCAAGAACTTCTTCACCAAATCAAAGCTTTCCATTCCAGAACTCTCTTATATATGGTGAGTACATTTAATGCCAAATAGTATCACATTAACATAATATTCATTCTTTACCATTTTGAAAGTCTTTTTTTGAATGATATTTTTAACAGATTGAGAAAGTGACTCGAGCTTGGATTTGTGTGGCTGTGAAAATAATATAAATTACCACACACACACACTAAGTACCACAAATGTTAACTACTAGCTTAAAAGTAATTTAATTATTATTGCCTTCTCAATCCTTTTTCAAATCTAAGTAATGGTGGACATCTGAGATATTCTGTCTTGTATATTTTATTTTCAGGTTTTTTGTTTCACTTGGTGTGAGGCAAGTATAAGGCAGGGCGAACAGAAGGTCTGGGAACATTTGGAACGGAATTAAATCTGCATATTCTAGCTGCTTCTGAGCTCTGTCAATTTGGCCAGTGTTTCTTGGCTGAGCCCTCATTCAGCCTTGCAGCTGCACTATCCCTGTACATTGCTGCTCAGGCTGCCTTGGCTCTAGCTTCAGAAGGGCTATACTGTGATGGTCCAGATGGCTCTCTTTGCATCTATGAAAATGCTCTGTGTTGTAAACTCCCGGCCATGTGTGGATTACTTCTTCCCCAAGACCAGGCAGGAGATTGTGTGGTTATCAATGTATAATTAAAATATTGGAATGTTTATGTAGAGGGTTTTTATCTTAAGGATTTACAAAAAAAATAAGTTGTACAATTCTACATCATTTAATTTCATCTTATTGAAAAAAGTGTTCCAATAATACTCATATATGCCATTGTATCTGGGATTCTGAACTGGATTGAGGTTCTTTAGCAATGTAATCTAGGATGATTTTTTTTTTTTACAAAAAGCTTTATATTATATTTTGAAGTTGGGGGGGAAAAGAAATGATCATTTTGAAAAAAAAAATACAATCTGTTTTGGCAGTATTCCCAGCCTTAACATGATCAGCATGAGGGCTCCTATCTTTTTTTTGAGACACATCCATGAAGACCAAATGGCATTCTCTCTATCCAGCATTTGAAGCCGTTCCCAGATTGCTCACCCTGGGAAGCAGCTGTTTTAAGACTGATCCATTCCAAACTGAAGGAGGGGGAGAAAGGGGTTGGTCCAAAGCGAAGTTATGTAGCTTACCATAGAAATGGGTTTTGTTTTCCAGTAGCAACAACTTCTTAGCAAAATCTTGTATAAGTCCTATCTCTTTACCTGTGCAAATACAAGTAGACTTGTTTTTGTACGCTTCAGAAGTGTTAGAGCTTAACGGGTCTTAATTCCTTTGGCAAATAGATTTCTTTTGTATTGAGTAAATAGGTCTGTATCTTTTAATGGGAAACAGTGGCTAACGTGAATATAAGCTCTTGCAAGACTTTTTCATACTTTCTTATTTGCTTCTAGCTTCCTCTAACTTCCAGTTTCATCTTAAAACACAATTTCATCAGTATTTATTTAGTTCATTTATATTTTCCCAAGAAGGAATTATCAGGCAAACAATAGTTTGCTACAAAAATTAATGTAACTTGGAAAGTTCAAGGCTTATCCTTAAAACTGGAAAAATAAGAAGCACCAATTTGTGTGCTGAGTAAACTGCACAATGGCTGCACGCACCTTTCCCTGCCTCTTTTGAGTAAGTACTAAGGACTATTCACACTATACAGTTTGCATTTAGTGAACAATCGTGGAATTCCAGGCATCACTTTTCATTTTATACTAGACTTCCTTGCTCCAAGGATCAGTCTTGTTAAACAGACCTATCAGAGAACCTTAAAAACTTAAATTTTTATTTACAGAATGCTACTGATGTGAATACTGTCTGTTAATCAGGGTTTTTCTTTCTCTGAGTTGTCCTTTGAGATTTCAAATTGGTGTGGTCAGGAGAGTTTGGGGATTCTGCAGGCCCATGCATGGCTAGAGAGTATAGGAGTTGTAATCACATGTTGGAGGTGCAATTCCATGGCAGGTGCTCATGATTTGTTATATTTAGGGAACTTAGCGATGCTGACTGTGATGGAGCCCTGACTCTGCCTGAGTTCTGTGCTGCATTTCATCTCATTGTGGCTCGGAAGAACGGCTACCCACTGCCTGAGGGCCTGCCTCCAACTTTGCAGCCAGAATACCTGCAAGCAGGTAAAACCTCATTATACATTATAAACCTTAGACATTTTCTATGGAGTCCTCATAAAAACTTTTATTTTCATTCATAAACATGTATACATGTGGTGTGTGTGTGTGTGTGTGTGTGTGTGTGTGTGTGTGTAATGCTGGTCCTGGGGCTTGAACTCAGGGTGCTGTCCATGAGCGTTTGTGCTCAAGGCTAGTGCTTGACCACTTGAGCCATAGCTACACTTCCAGTTTTTGGTTGTTTTTTTTTTTTTTTGTAATTGAAAAGAAAAAAAGCCAGCCCAGGCTGGCTTTGTACCACAATTCTCAGATCTCAGGTTTCTGAGCAGCTAGGATTACAGGTGTGAACCACTGATGCCCAGATTAAAACTTTCCTTCCTTCCTTCCTTCCTTCCTTCCTTCCTTCCTTCTTTCCTTCCTTCCTTCCTTCCTTCCTTCCCTCTCCCTCCCCCCTCTTGCTTTTCTTTTTTGTCAGTTGTGGGGCCTGAACTCAGGGCCTGGGCGCTGGCCCTCAGCTCTTCAGCTCAAGGCTAGTGCTCTCCCACTTGAGCCACAGCACCACTTCTGGCTATTTTCTTTCTGCTTATGTGGTGCTGAGGAATCGAACCCAGGGCCTCATGCATGCAAGGCAAGCACTCTACCACTGAGCCACCTTCCCAGCCCGACACTGTGATTCTTATTTCCTTGTTGTAAATTAGCAAGGTTTTATGCTTTTATTTCCCTATTAACCAAAGATAATTATGACAAATGTCATAAAATTATCTTAGACATACTTGTTTCAGTATAAGATCTTGTTTATTTCCAGCAACAGCTAAAATGAAGTATCCGGTTAATATTCATAATATTCAAATTTACAACCAATGTCTTTATGAATTGTGATAATGATGTCTAATTGAAACATCACTACTGTGTTATAACATAAAGTTCTGGGAATATGGGTTCTTTAGCTGAACTCCTAGGAGTTCAAGATCCTGACCTTCATTTATCAGCAATATGACCCTGAGTAAGTTATTTATTACCCCTTTCCATGTGAAAAATGGTGATCTTACAAGTTGGCATGATAGAAGTATGGGGTTGTATTTATTAAGAGCCTAAAATATTATCTCATCATGATTAGTGGTACAGGTTTTATATATTAGCTATAGTGTACAGATAGTATATAGGATTTGTTGTTATGTTTAAAAGCACAGAAAGGTTGACAATGAGCACTACTATAACTATAGTAACTATTCTTACATGTGCCTTTTCTTTTGTCTTAGCTTTTCCTAAGCCCAAGTGGGAGTGTGCTTTGTTTGATTCTTATTCTGAGTCAGTGCCAGCAAACCAACAGACACGTGACTTGAATCGGATGGAGGTATGTAAAAGATCTACATTTGTTAATATATAAGGATATGTATGAAAACAAATATTTAGCTTATATTCTTTATAAACTTTGGAAACATGAACTTTTATTGTTTTTATGCTCTTTTTATTGTTTTATGCTTTCATAATTAGCTTTTCAAATCTAGATCTATAATTATTTTTCTCTGCTTCATAAAGTATGGTTGATGATTCAGCCAGTGTCTCTTGACCATTTAGAGATAGTTAGATATAACCAACCTAGGCCAGAAAATATTAACCATGTTTTTTACTTTAACCAAGTTTTAATTTCCTGGTAAATAATTTAAGTTGTATTTTTAGTGGCTGGTTATTAGCAAGTTATAATGAATCAGAACAGTTTTGAGAAGAGGTTTGAGAACTATTTAAAGGATCCCAAATCACATTCAAGGTTCTGTCAGAGTTTTAGCTTTTGGATTAAATTAGGACTAATCTGGATTTCCCAAAGAAACGTAGAGATTCACACAATATTGGGAAATTAATACAAGGTCTTTCTCAGGCTCTTGGGTTGCTAATATTATAGGCATGGACCACTAGCCCTGACTATAAAGCTTGTTTTAAAAATAATGTAATAAAACACCTTTAACTAATGATCCTTAGCTATGGTGTAATAAATAGGAATTGTTATGGCTGTTGTGGTTGTCACAATTATTGTTATTATTATTCTTATTGTTATCATTAGCACTATTATGATTACTATGATGATAATTTAAGATACCACCTGTTTTCTTCCTAAAAGAAAATTTGGAATTGGCATTGGGGGTGTAGCTCACTGATAGAACACTTGCCTAGCAAGTGTAAAGCCCTAGCACCCAAAAATCTGGAAACATTTTTAATTGAAAATTTTTATTGACATGCAATATTTGTACATATTTATGGGGTACAGTATGACAATTTGGTACATATTAATGTATCAATTTGGTACAATGCATTAATGAAATCAGAGTATAAACATATATAAATATATGGAGTTTATTAAAGACTTCTGTTAGAGTCTTCTATCATTGATACCATTACAAGAAGATAGAAGGCAAAGGCAGAAGAAAGGGACAGTTCTTTAATTTCTATTGCTTAGTTTGATTATTCCCCCATACCTAAAGTGTTTACTGCTCTGGTCCTATGTGAGCCAGTCAAGCCAGTCTCTCTGCTTTTCACTGATTAACAACTCCCTTGTGCTCTGCAATTATTTCTTGGAGCTGCAGCCTCCATGGTGCTTTCCTCAGTAGATTTCTACACATGGGGAAAAGGTATAAAGAAAAGTGACTTCAGAAAGAATGATGGATATGCATATGAAGAAGAAGATATAATAATTCTCTGCTTTCCATGCTCCTTGGTTTACTTTGGGGTTCTAGAATTCTGTCTATGAAGTTAGGACTGATAACCCTGTAACTCTGACATAGCTGTACTGTACTATGTAGATGTGATGTCCTTTCCACCTTATATGAAATTGTGAGGTTGCTAGGTGGTTTTCTTTAAACCACCATTCTATATAAACTATATAAACTACTTTTTCTATATAAACTTGCCATAGTATTAGATTGTCTTGGCCTTTCCAACACAAACAAGTAATATTTCTTTTTATTGGTAGAAGTTATGTTGTTTTCCTCATGTAGTCACATGTCATCTTTCTAAAAGGAAAGGAGAGCAAATATATCCTTTATTGTTTTACGCATCTAGTTTTATCATTTTTGCACACTTTCACTGGCCTATTTGTCATTAAAAGATGTAGCTAGTCCTTTTTAGTGCATGTGTGTGCCAGTACAGGGTATTGAACTCAGGCTGGCTTTTTCACTCTACTCAAGGCTGATGTTCTACCATTTGAGCCACATCTCCACCCTAGTTTGCCTTTTTTCCCTGTCTAAACCAGAAACACAAAATAACAACAGATATTTACTTCTTTCCAATCAAATGATTATTTGTGAAGATGAGATATTCTTATATAATGAACATAGTGAACAGAATTGAAGGATGAAGTAATAAACTTAATGGATTGTTTAGTCATTTAAGAAATTTAGGCCATCATAAAATGGGCACTAATGGAAAAAAAGGGACAGATAGGTGCAGATACAGGAATATTCAGATACTCAGAGATTTCAGTATCCCATTATCATCATAGCTAGATCATCCAGATAAAAAATTCAGACACTTCAAAATTAAATTGTACCACAAATTGGAATGCATATGTATATGTACATATATGTATCATTTCCTTTCAATAGCTGTAGAATAAATATTCTTCTTAGTAGCCTATGAAACTTTGTCCAAAATAGACCACATTTTAGGTTATAAAACAAATCTTCACACATACCTAAAAGAAAGATTTTATTTGTATTTTATCATAGCACAATGGAATGGAACTAGAAACCAATGCTAGAAATTACAAATAATATATAAATACATGGAGATTTAAAAATGCACTTTTTTCTTTTTGCTCTAATGGGGCTCGAACCCCAGACCTCAAACTCTCATTCAGCCTTTTTACTCACTGCTGACATTCTACCCTCTGAGACATACTTCCAGTTCCAGCTTTTTGCTGGTTATTTGGAGTCTTACAGATTTCTCTTCCTGGCTGTCTCCAGATCTTGATCCTCCGATATCAAACACCTTATTAACTAGTACTATAGGCATGAGCCTCCAGCACCTGGCCCAACAATACATTTTAGAGTGATCAATGGGTCACTGAAGGATCAGATGGATATTAAAAAAGTATCAAATAAAAAATTTAAAGCATTACTTACTAGTTTCTTTGTAACACACAAAAGGCATTTCTAAGAGGAAATTTTGTAGCTATGATGGAGAGGTCTCAAATGAATAATCTAATGATGTCCCTCAATGTCTTAGAAAAACAAGAACAAGCTAAACTCAGAATTAGTTGAAGGAAAAATAATAAAGACCAAAGCTAAAAGTAATGAAATGGAAACCAAAAGAACAGTACAAATGATCACTGAAATAAATAGTTGCTTCATTGACAGAGAGATGCAATTGACAAACCCTTTTCAAAACTAAACAAAAGAAAGAGGAGATCCAAACTAATAAAATTAGAGGAGACAAAAAGGACATTTTAAATGGTACCAATGAAATACCGAGCAACGTTATGGAATAAATAAACTTAATACTCTAATAATATGGAAAATCTAGCATAAATGAATAAATTTCTAGATACTAAGACCTACCAAAATTAAACCCAGAGGATATAAAAACAACTGGTTTATACTGAGTAGTGAGATTGAAGCAGTAATTAAGAGTCTCCTAACAAAGAAAAGAGCAGAATTGAATAGATTCACTGCTGAATTCATTAAAGAATACACTAGTGCTTATAAAACAGTCCATGAAATAGAAAGAGTAGGAATGCTATCAAATTCCTTCTATGAAGACAGTAGTATCCTGAAAACAAAATTGAATAAGGACATAACAACAACAACAGCAGCAGCAGCAGCAAAAATAAACCCTATGGACTAATTTCCTGATGAACATATAGAACATATAGAAATCCTTACAAACGGAATTGAACAACACATTAAAAAGGTAACATACCATGATCAAATTTGTTTCATACCAGGTATTCAAAGATGAGTGAACACACACAAATCAATACATGTAATAACTCCCACCCCCTGGCTATTGATCAATAGTGGATAGGGAGCAAGGGAAAAAGATAGTAATTACTGAGAGTTTGTACAAAATAAATTCATACTAAGAAGATTTTAAAATAATTTCTAAGGGCTGGGAAGGTGGCTCAGTGGTAGAGTGCTTGCCTTGCATGCATGAGGCCCTGGGTTTGATTCCTCAGCACCACATAAGCAGAATAAAAAGCCAGAAGTGGCGCTGTGGCTCAAGTGGTAGAGCGCTAGCCTTGAGCTGAAGAGCTGAGGGACAGCGCCCAGGCCCAGAGTTCAGGCCCACAACTGACAAAATAATAATAATAATTCCTATTTGATCAAAATGGATATTCAGTACATGTAAGAGCTTCCATCATAGGTAACTTATGACAAATTTTGATCTGATCATCAATGAACTTTTCTTATTCTATACCAAGGAGGCTGTTTCCATCATGGTTAGGTAGCTGTCTTCATGACAGTTCATGGCAAACATCCACATTATGGGGCTGCTTATTAGAACCTCTCTCTGCTTATGAAAAAATTACATAACATCTAAGTTGGAGCTTGTTTGTCTCACAGGACAAATGTGCAATTCTCTAGCTAGATTATGATTTAATGTACACTTTACATATAGGCTTTGATCTGAATCATTATTTCTTTACCTTGTGTATGTAAATTTTTAAAACAAATTAACTTAGTAGTTTAATTAGGTTCTGTAATAGGAACCAAAAGTAATGAAAATACTATTATATTTCAGAGGTTACTGAAGACAGAACTTTTTAATTTATTTTTTATTGTGAAAATGTAACAAAGGGGTTATAGGTACATGAGCAAGGTAATGAGTACATTTCTTATCCAGCATTGTTGCCTCCTCCTTTGTTTTTCCCCTACCATCCCTGCCCTCCCACCTCCTCAGCTACACCCTCCTATCCCCCCACCCCCCTCCTAAATTGTAAAGTTCATTTTTCGACATAGCGTGAAGACAGAACTTTTGGCAGGAAACAGCCTTTTAATCATTTCCTATGTGTGCACATCACATATTTCCATTCCAACCTGCATAACTCATTTCTTTTTCCTTTTTAAGAAGACATCTGTTAAAGATGTGGCTGACTTTCCTGGCCCTGCCCAAGACATGACTGGTGATGATAAACAAGGTATGAAAAGGATGCATTGTCTTATTTCAAAGACATATTCCTCTGTTCCCTTATCTACTTCTCTTGGAATGGCTGGTTTCTTGAGCATCTGAAGATAGTTCTCAGTATGCAAACTCATTGGAATAAATTAAACAGTTGCAACTTGTTGCAAAATGGTGGCTCCTAAAGTGAGAGCAAGAACATTAGTGTCTACATCCCCCCAGCCTAATTGTTAACCTTAGTCTATTCTGATATCTTCCATTGGAATCTGTTTCTGTGAAGTAGAAAATGAGGAGAAATAGAATGAATTGAGAGCTTAATATTTTACATTGGCATACACCATGCTAAAAACACAGGTCTCTTCAAAAAGTTCTCTTCAGCTACAGCTTGTGTCTCAAGGCTTTATCTGTCTCTCAGTGGCTTTTTGGTTATGGTGGTGTAACATAAAGCAAAGCTATCATTTCCTTATTATTCTGGGTAGCCGAGAAGTCACACAATACAGAGTTCTATGTTAGAGCAACCATCAAACAGGGGGATGACTTGGGCAGCAGGATCTAGAAGTATAGGAAGGACCCTCTCTTCCAAACCCCACGCGTTGTGTAATACATTTACAATTCTTTCACCAGGTGCTTTTACATATACTGTCCTAGTCAGCCCTCGAAAATCTGGTGTGTTTTATTACCTAAGATTTAGCCATAAGCAAGCTGAAGTTCAGTTAGTATGAATCATTTCCTTGTACAAAAAAAAAGGAAAAAGAACTTAAATGAGAATCAAGACTTGGAGTGTCAAACCAGTATTCCATCTATTATCTCACATTGATTAACTACTCATGAATTGAGCCTTGTCTGCAGTGAAGCTATTCCAGGTTTGATTGCTGAAACCTGCCATTCATTCAGCCTTAGATACGATTAAACATAAAAAAATAGTTTTCAGCTAAACAACAATAACATTATGCTTCCTATTCAAACACTTGCTCTGGAGAACCCATGTACAGCGATGGGTCTCCCAAATGGTGGGTTAGCTTTCACTGCATGGCGGAATAACCACCAGGCCAGCTCAAAAGTACTGAAGCTAGCATTGCAGTCCCCGACCTTCTCATGTTATTGATCCTGCTGTCAGAAAGGAAAGGGGGAAAATTCTTAATACTCTTTGGTAATATTCCAACTAACCACTAGAGGCCCTCTCTCTGGAAAATTGAAACTGGTTTGATCTCTGTAGGAGAATTTATTTCCATACTCCACTAGATTAAAAATTATTTTTTATTGTTCTAGTAAATGCTATAGTGATGTCTAGAGGTTTGTAAGACTTATTTTTGTAAGTGATGACTAGGGACTGTTTGTTTTACAGCGATGTTCTTCAGAAATAAATTTTTATGGTTTTGTTCTTTTCTGTCCTTTATTTTTCTTTAAAAAATGAAACAAAACATCACTAGCTTTGAAAAGTGCCATCAAGGAAGCCTTACCAAAGGACCTATCTGAGGATCCAGGTAGGAGAAAACCATTTTAATATACCTTCTGTGTTATTGTTTCTAAGTTAAAAAACCTAACAGTTTTGTGAGTAGAAAATTGCTAACTATATATTTATCTCTAAATATTTGTCTTGTGCTTTATTACAAGTCAGCCTTTTGGCCTTCTACTCTTTCCTTTTTTCAGGAACGAAACGAGAATGGCTTATTTTTAAGATCATGATTTAGGTCCCACCAAAAGGATCACTCAAGCTTGTTAAAATTGGAAAGTTAAGAAGATTTGGAATTGAGATGATTTCAATAAGTCACTGTGGTTTCTGTATACAGCAAGGAATTGATAAGTGATTAAATAGAGACCCAGAGTTGGCATTTTCCATTTCCGAAGCATAAATCTCAAATATTTTTTATTATACTTCACCACAGAGAAAGCAACTGTATGTGCTTTACATGGAGTAGTTTCCAAGGCGAAAAATAAAAGTTGTGCTTTCCAGATTCTTTGAGACATGGAAATGTGTCTGTGGAACCATAGAGAAGGCTGGGCTGGGTCTTCAACTCTCTCTTGATGTAGCCATGGTTAAATCAAGATGAACTCCGTTCAAAACAAGTGACTACAGAAGTCATTACTATTTGGAGTTCTAGTTATGAGGACATGAAATAAGTTTCTACTTTTCTTTTACTGTTATTTCTCTTGCATAGTGGATGAGTAAATTGTATTTTTTTGTTGTTAGCTAGCTATCATCCTAGGTTATTTGCTTAACATTGGAACAAAAGAGTGAATTGAACATATGCTGTGATGATATATTTCCCAAACACTAAGTTCAGTCAAGGTTTAAAAGAGAGTAGGATAGAGAAAATAGTGGGAAGGAGTGGGAAAGACTGAGGAAGAGAAGGAAAGAGAGAGGCAGGGAGGGAAGAATAAAGAATATGAATGAGAGCGTATGGCTGATCTAAGTGAAGGAAAGCCTGATAAACCACCAGTTCCTCTGGTGATTCTGGTTTGCAGTCTATTTTGACAACCACTACCTTTAGAAAGTAATGATACAAAATAGATAACCAAGACTCATGACTTCAATAGCAGTGGGAAATCCAAACCAAATTTTGATTTTTGAAACACTTTTCGATTCACTCATCAGAGGGAAATGCTCTGTCTGTATCATCTGAACATGGCTTTTTGCCATTCTCATTTCTGATGCTAAAGTGGATGCCTCTCAGGCTTTGTTAACTTCATATTATAGTCTTTTTAAATTTTGAGTTATTTTTTATTCTTCAAAATGGAACTGTTGTACATTGTACAAACCATATCTACTGGATGGAATAAATAAGAAAAAAATTATACTGCTGTACAACCTGCCCATATTGTAGTCTTAATAAAAATAATTTAAACATGGGGTGTTAAGCTGATGCTTCTCCAACAGGCTTTGAGAATTACACTTCCAGTTTTTCCCCAGAGATCCTTTTTTATCATGAAATCAAGTGTTCTCTGGGGCATGAGCTTTAGATCTCATTTTTAACATTTCTTGACTAAGACTTGACATCACTAAACCAAACCTAACACGTGTGCCACAGTGCATGAAGTGTATCTAAATTCAATTTATATTGTGCCTGAGAGCATGGTATGTTTGTCCGATTTGTTCATTATTCCACGATTGCCCTTTTCTGGGTGTGATGAGATACCTCACCTTAAACACATTTAGTAATTTCTTTGGATCCACTGCAGAAGACACAGGAATCTCAAGGTGATAATTAAAAATTCTATATAGCATTCCCTTCATTGGGGAGTATGTTCAATTCAGTTACAGCATTATGGAGGGTTAATCTTTTAGACCTTCTCTCTTTTTCCATTGTCATTTTTCTGCAAAGATTATACACTAGAGTGTTCCAGTTGTCATTTTTCCCTTGGCTTTTGCTTGAATTTACAACATAACATACCATTGCCATGTGTGAATATCTGTGATATTCATACGCCCCAAAAGCAGAATCAGGTTTTCAGAGCTTAGAAGTAGACAGAAGAGTTGAATAGGATAGTGTTGTTGAACCTTTCTAGAAGACTTACCATGAGATATTTTGTAAATATTTTTGCAGGTAGAAGCATCTCCCTGTTCTAGTCTCTATAGTTGTTGTTGGCGATGATGATGATGATGATGATGATGATGATGATGATGATGATGAGATGATGATGATGATAATGACAATGAGGGTGATGTAGTGGGTGATAAATGAGGGGCTATTATCTTAGGGAATGGGGACATTACTTATATATTTTCCATCTGCTCTTCCCTTTTAATTGCTGAAAGTGTACATATTAAAGGAGTCTAGGAGATTCTGTACCCAACATCCTATTCCAACCTATTTCAATTATGCACATTGCACATTGGTGATCTTGGTCTTGATGTCTCTGAGTCGTGCTGAGGTGTTTTATGCCACTTTACCCTCAGTGAGGTCTTGTAAATGCTGTTGGTGGTGGTAGGGGGCTGCTTCATTGCTAAAGACTAGTCTATGATCTTAACTGTGCTGGAACAGTTCTCTTTGCACTTTTCTTTCTTTTTTTTTGTGTGCCAGTCCTATGGCTTGAACTCAGGGCCTAGGCACTGTCCCTGAACTTTTGAGCTCAAAGACTACCACTTGAGCCATAGTTCCACTTCGAGCCCAGACTGACTTGGAAGAGTGACCCTCAGATCTCACCCTCCTGAGTAGCTAGGATTATAGGCTTGAACCATTGGTGCCTGGCTTCATTTTCGCCTCCTTATCTGTCCCTATAAGAAAGAGGTTTCATTTTTACTGGCTTTACTCTGTGAATGAGGAAACTGAGGTTCAGGAAGGTAACAAATCCTTAATGTGATGGCCAGGAGGAACACATGGTCATCAAGACTCCCAGCCTGTTATCTGGTCCATATCTCCATTGCTTATCCACACCCTTACTTCATCTGACTGTCTGTCTATCTGTTACTAGCAGGGATCACCCCTCCTTCCACACCCATCCCCACACCAGCACAAAAAGACAAAGATAATGACAACTGAATAAATGATTATCATCTGGTTTGGGGGAACAGTATTTGAACTTGGATAGGACTTGTATGCAGATGTTTCTGGAAGGCAGTGGGGCCTGAGGGAAACAAGGGGGCACAGAGCAACACTGGTCAGCCTGCTTAGAGGTTTGCCCCCAGTTCTGTGGTGAGTCTGGTCATATACTGGCCCTTCAGCTTTAGGGCAGCCTCCTTGACTGGAAGAGAGGCACACCCAAGCGCGCTCTCTTTCTCTCTCGTTTTTCTTTCTGTATTCATGTGTGAGTGCACGATACAAGCAAGGAGGGACTCAGAGTCCTTGGACATTTGGCGGGCGGGGGTGGGGTGGTATGGCCAGTCTTCAATTTGTTGAAGCTGAAAGATGCCTGTGTTCTCATTCGTGCAAACCAAAGCTTTTAGGTTGGGAAAAATGGCTCTTCCATGCAACTGACCTGCCTAAGGGAAATATCTCTCAGCAGTTTGCCCTGAACCTTGTTAGCCATTATGAGGGTTTTTAGCTTCCCTTTCTGCCCTGCTTATCTAACCCAAGGATTTAGTGATCATCCTTACTTTTAGCTGCATCATACTAAAGAGGAGTTTCTTTTAAATGTTTATAGCAATGTAAAAAAGAATTTAATAATGCAGTGAGGCATTTTCATTTGGAAAAATTTGTAAAAACAAAGAAATAAATTATATTATCTTTGTTCCTCATAAGTAGCACTCTTTCATAAGTTTTTAAAATTACTTCTATTATTTATTTTTGTTTATATGCTATCAAGGAATTCAACCCAGGGCTTCATGCATGCTAGGGAAGCACTCTACCACTAGGCCACATTCCCAGCCCTCCATAATTTTTTTTTATGATGCAAGATTTGCAAAGCTTGTAAATCTTTAGCATAGTATCTGGTTTCTTATTCTACTCTATTCTATTCCATTATATTCCTTTCTTGTTTCTCTCTTTGTTCGTTAGTACTGGAGTTGGAACTCAGAGCCTAGTGCTTGTTCACTTGGTGCTCTACCACTGAGACACTTCTCCAGCCTTGATTTTTGCTGATTATTTAGAAGATGGAGCCTCATAGACTTTTTTGCCTGGCCTGACTTCAATTTATGATACTCTGGATCTCAATTTTCTGAGTATCTAGGAATATAGGCCTGATCCATCAGCATAGCATAGCTACTTGTTTCTGAAGTTGCCTTCTGTTGAGAACTGAAAACATAAAAAGAGAATTGAGAAAAATGGAAGGGGATTGATATTTTTGGTAACTGTTTCTATTACCTTTTACAATTTATCATGGGAAAGTAGGTTGCATGGGCGTTTGTAGTGAAAAAGTTTGCTTATGATTTAAATTTGATGTGGGAGGTCATGTGATCAACAAAATATTTTAATGAGTTCATCCCATAATAGTTTCTATCTTGGTTAGAGATATGGGGAGCAAGAATCTTTTCTTACAGGAAAAAGAATCTTTTCTTATAGGAGTCTTGCATTTTTGAGACCATGTTGCTCCACAGTAGTTTATTTTAAGAAAATGTGTAGCTGGATAGATTTCTTCCTAGTCCTCAGAAAAGACTGATTCAAAATCTGTATTAGGCATCACAAGAGACTAACAAGCTTGTAAGTGTGAATCCATCATTAAATAAAAAGACAACCCTGGGGGGTTGGAATGTCTCCATCAGTAAACTTACAATTGATTGTGACTTCTCTGATAGCGTTGTGATAAAATAGAAAAATATTCTGGGGTTTCTTTCCTTTTAATTGAGCCTTTAGATAAAAAAATTAAAAGAAAAATTAGGAAAATGCTCAAATGTGGACGCTCCAGACTTCTCCACATGGACATCTTGGTCTCACATTTACTTGTTGATGTGTTCTGTACTAGCCCAGGTGCTGCATATATCACTGTTTAACTGCAGAAATGAAACCCAAGCAAACAACAAATAATCTTTGTTTCAGCAACTTCTAAGGATTCCAACAGTCTCAAAGGAAGACCAAGATCCAGGTAGTATTCAATTCCTGCTTCATTGACTTTTGGGCCCTATTCCTGCCTAAAAACAAGAAACCCAAGCTCCAAACCATGATCTCATTTGCCTTTAGATTGGAAACTAAAGATAGAAACCATTTTACTCTTTGTGAGTGGCTTTCTTAGAACATGCAGTGACACTGGAGAGCCTTTGAGTCTCTGGTTGTTAGTGCTGGATGATGGTGATTGATATTTTCTAGGCCCTCTAGAGGAAGTGGGTTGTATGAGATGATTCAGTTGGGGCAAGATAATAACTAATGAGAACACATAGTTTTGGGAAGAGAGAACTACGGATAAAAGGTAACTAATGGCTGCAATTTGCCTTCATGGCAAGGTGAACACCAAAAAAATAAGTTTGAGGAGTACAGTCTAGATGTGGGATGATTTCAAGGATATACTAGGGTTTAGGCAAACAGTTCTTTGGGTCTGTTTATGCCTGTATTAGCACCTCTTTGCAGCTTCACATTTTTAAAAGGATCAGTAAGGCAGTGCCTTGGTTGATATCACACTTAGAAAAACAAAGGAGAAATACAAAAATACCAAGTGTTAATCCATTAAAGAGTAGAAATGGTATTGAAAGCACTTTTTTTTAGCCATACAACTACAGTGTAAGATAGGCTGTTCTATCTTACACTATGTTTTGTGAATTTTTCTCTGGGTCTTAGAGACTTCTTTTGGCTACAAAACACATTCTCAAAAAAGTGAATTTAAGCCTGGTTATATTTTATATTTTTGAATTACTTACATTTAAGTAAATCTCATCTCACTGCAAATCTAAGAGTTATGTCTACATTTTCTTAGTTGAGGATCTATTACCTTATGTATAGGAGGTGCAGGTACTTATAGTATTGAATGCTAGAGTTTGAATTCAAGCCTTGTGCTTGTTCAGCATGCTTGTACTAGCAGAGGTCCGCCTACAGCCTGGCTTTTTGCTCATTATTTTGGAGATGAGGCCTCATAAACTTTTCTACCCAGACTTTTCTTGAACTGTAGTACTTCAGATCTCAGCCTTCTGAGTACCTAGATTATATTATGAGCCCTGAGAACCTGGCTATATTTCTATCTTATTTCAGTAGGAAGAAAAAGCTATAGTCACTATCTCCATGGTGAATACATTTACTCATTTTTGTTTGGAAGGTGGGAGTAGAGTATCCAATCATTTTAATTCTCCTTTTTTTCAAATAATAAGTATTTGTAGAAATGTGAAGGAATGGGAAACAAATCACTATTCTAATATTACCATGCTCGTCCTTTTGACAATTCCCTGGAAATTTATTTATTTATTTATTTATTTATGCTGGTTCTGAGGCTTGAACTCAGTGCCTGGGTACTGTGCCTGAGCATCTCTGTGCTCAAGGCTAGCACTCTACCCCTTGAGCCACAATGACACTTCCAGCTTTTTCTGAGTAGTTTATCGGAGATAAGAGTCTCATGGAATTCTTGCCTGGGCAACCTTCGAACTGCCATCCTCAAATCTCAACCTCCTGAGTAGCTAAGTTTACAGGCTTAAGCTACTGGTGCCTGGCTACATTTATGTTTTAATGATTGATATTCAGTATCTTTCTGCAAATATAAGAATACATTATAAAAGGAAATGAAGTAGAAAGGAGGTCTGTAATTATATGTGTGCATATACATTATTTAAATATATACATTATTCTTTTTTTTGAGTAGAAGATGTCACCAAAGCTGTGCGTGGCATAGGAAGTTCTTGAAAAATCTCTAGAGAGGGTCTCTAGTTTTACAAAGCATATTGTCTTTTCATGTTGTTTTCTTTTGATTCTGATTCAGAGTATTAAAGCTTTTTTTCCTTAGTTCCTGTTTATTCTGTGCATCTTGCTAGTTATGGTATGGGGACCACCCCAGAGTATATCATGTGTCATTATGGTGGCTTTATTAAAGATTAAAAGCATACAAGAAAGACAAAACCCTTGACTACCACAAAGAAACTTTGAGAAACATATTTATATAAAGAAAAACTTGCCATGTCAAAAACAACTCTATAAAGAACTGATGAAGCTTAATGGTCATTTTTTGTTGTTGTTGGTCATGGGGCCTGAACTCTGGGCCTGGGCGCTGTCCCTTAGCTCTTCAGCTCAAGGCTGGCGCTCTACCACTTGAACCACAGCACCACTTCTGTCTTTTTCTGCTTATGTGGTGCTGAGGAATCGAACCCAGGGACTCATGTATGCAAGGCAAGCACTCTACCACTGAGCCACCTTCCCAGCCCCTTAATAGTCATTGATAGATTCGAATTTCCTAAGTGCCACTCTAATAGGTAAAGAGAAAGAACAGTTTCTTGAGGTTAATTTGTCTCTAGGACATGAAGTTAGTTGAGAAGAGATGTATACATCCTTTTCCTGATCTATGGAGTTGAATTAATTAAATAAAATAAGTAGATTTCCAATAGATAGTTTAGCTGCTACTGCCAAAGGATTTCTTCTGTGGTTCATAGGCATAGAAAATCATTAAAAAATTAAGTTTAGAGACAGACTGGAGTTTTAATTGAACCTATGTAACTTTCTAGCTTTGTGAACTTTGGCATTAGTGTTTTTTTTAAAATGTCATTGTTGGAGATACAGTCTCAGAAGTTGCTTAGTTAACATTGCCTTGTTATACTGTAATGAAGGTTAAAATGAGGCTTTTGCTTTGAATATTTCCACATACACTTATTTCCCAAGCAAGGCAAGTCAAACCCTTCAATCTGATTGATGTGTTTTCCCTTCTTAAATTCCATATGTGGCATATTCCCTTGAATATATAATTCTTAGTCTCATCTTATCTATCTCAATTCCATATGTGCCTGTCATCACATTTGCAGTAGGCAGGGGGTGAGGTTTTACAATCAATTAATACCATGAAGCCCTTTTATTAGAGCATGAAAATAATTACACCGAAGTGTTTACATGGTGTTCTTATTAAAAACTCTAATCAAAATGGATTTGAATTTACATGAAACTTTTTTTTGAGGGGGGGAGATGGAGGGTAAATTTATGTCTATGGCATAATGAAAGAGGTTAAAAAGGTCCTAAGCCGGGTGTGGTGGTGGACATTTGCTCTACCAGCACTTGGGAGACCAAGACAAGAAGACTTTGAGTTTAACCTCAGCCTGGGCTGCATAGCAAGACCTTATCTCAAGCATGTATCTCCACAGTTATTATACATAGTAGCATCCAAGCGATAGTAGCTGCTCTTGGCAGCTCATCAGTTCTCTGCAGTTACTTTGACGTTCTGTTTCTACCCATCTTCTGGGAGTAAAGCTTTGCTCTTTCCTTCTGACTTTCACTTATTTTGCTGCAGATCTTACTCTAGCACCTCCATAGAAGAGGCCATGAAAAGGGGTGAGGACCCACCCACCCCACCACCGCGGCCACAGAAAACCCATTCCAGAGCCTCCTCCTTGGATCTGAATAAAGTCTTCCAGCCCACTGAGCCAGGTGAAGTGCCTCCCTGTCCTCTGAGCCCCTCTGAGCCCCTCCCTTTTCTGTTGGAGCCATTGGGTGTGTCAGTTGCAAAGGCCTCTGTGAATTGGGGGAAAGAGCAGATCTGGCAGTTTCTTTTTCCATGATGGTCTTCATATTGCTGTGGGATTTTTTTGGGGGGGGCAGGAAAGCAATCCCAGCAGATAGACATATGGGTCTGGATGCTTGCCTGTAACTTGCTGTGGTACGAGAATGCTGAACGTCTGTATCCAGGGGATAAAAATGCTTTCCACTGTGTGCTTGGCTGGAGTCTTGTTCTCTGCATCATGGTAATTTGTAAATAAGATCACTGCCTGCCATTTTCTTAGACACTTATATGGTTCTTTTGCATAAGATCTTAGAGAACAGCCCTTGGCCAGGCCCTTCTCTGACAGTTTATCCTTGTGGAGAAGATCCTGTGAACCATATGGTTTAATGTAAAGAGCCTCCAAATTGGATTGATGGGTATTTGGTAAAGGAGTCTAAGGCCAGTAACCCTTCAAGTGGGCTATGCTGGAGCTTCTGGCAGTAGGAGTTTGTTGAGCTACCAGCTGTGTAGCTGGGCTGGTGGTAGGGGAAATCAGAGAGGCCTGTCTGCTCCTGAGCTTCCTGTGACTAGACATGTCCTCCTAGGGAACCTAAGGACAGACAGTGAGACACATGCAGGTGACAGGATACAGCACTATTCTAAAAAAAACTGTTCTACTGATTCATGCATTTTAACTCAAGCCGGCTTCAGATGCTAGTGATTGTAGATTTTTAAAAAAAATCTTTTCTACTAAGAAAAGATTCTCATTTGCTCTTACATTAGGATGACCCCGTGACCTGGCACAGCTCAGTATGTTTTATTTGTTCTAATAAAGTAACCTCCTCACAGTAAAGTTATAGATTATTTTTTAATATACGAGAATCTGGAACTCTATGAAATTTGATTGTCTGAAATGAGCTCATCAGACAAATATTTCTTTTAAATTTCCTTGCATACTTTGATGGAAATTCTGGCATAATTTCATAAGAACTGGTATTTAGAGTGGGAGTAGGCATGGGTGATGATGTTATAAAAATTTCACATAGTTGGTGCATTATGAGCGAGAAAATTCTTTTATGGAGGCAAGAAGATTAAGACAATCTGGGCAGCTATGTCAACACTTTTCAGTTGCAAGGAGGGAGGGTAGAGCTGTACGTGCACTTCAGGCTCTGTGACACAGGAAGGAGATAGCAGCTGTGCTTGAGAATTGGCATGCTATGGGTTTTACACCATCATCTTGCACAGTGGAAGACATAACTTTACTTGGAGCTCAGCTTAACTGCTTGTTGAACTGCTTGATTTTCAGCAAGTGCTTTAATATTTTTGTACTTCTGATTACTCATGTGCAAAATAGAGTCAATACTAACTTTATACAGTTGTAAGGTTTCAGCGATATGATAAACATGATGTAAATGTCACCCTGTTTGGCTCATAGACCTTAATGTGAACCTGAGGCTCATCTTGTTGTGACTTGAAACTATCAGGGAATTAATGCCCTCAGGAACATTGTATGACTGATGAATATAAAGTCCCCTAACTCTCCTGACCCCAGTGGATAATTCTGTGATTCTTTCTAGAAGGTTATTCTGAAGGTTTTCAGAAGGACTGAATTCCAGCTGATGCAGGGCACCAGAATCAAATACAGTGAAAACAGGGGTTATACCATGGGGGAAGAACATACAAAAGAAGCAAAAAAAGTCACATAGTACATTAAAAACAACAGCGACAAGGAAAAAAAAAACCCTCTTGTGTCCATATCTTGGGGTTACTTTCGCTTAGCACCATCTTATATGGTCATACGTGCATAGCTATTGACCTTTTCTGCTTGGGTGGTAAGATTATTCTAGACATATACTAGTTATTGCAAATAGGGGAACCAGGAGACCTATGTTTCTTTGGGTCTGTCTTACTTCACTTAATATAATTTTAGAGGGGCTGGGAAGGTGGCTCAGTGGTAGAGCACTTGCCTTGCATGCCTGAGGCCCTGGGTTCGATTCCTCAGCACCACATAAGCAAAAAGAAAAAAGCCGGAAGTGGCGCTGTGGCTCAAGTGGCAGAGTGCTAGCCTTGAGCTGAAGAGCTGAGGGACAGCGCCCAGGCCCAGAGTTCAGGCCCCACGACCGGACTCCCCCCCCAAAAAAAATATATATATATATATAATTTTAGAACCTAATATCTCATTCCTCATTGAAACAGTTGTTTCCTTAACGTGTTTTTTTTTTTTTAAATCATGATCTGATTTTGTTCTCTTCTACTAGATGTCAGTTTTCCTTCTACTTTTGACTCCGGCCTGCCTTTTTCAAAGCCAGTTGTAAGGTTTACAGCGTAAGAGGTCTGTGGTGATGATAGAAAACCTTCACTCTGCCTCTTCCACAATAGTCCTCTCTGTTCCTGTTGTTAGCTACCGGGGCAGAAAGGACAGAGATTGTGTGAGGAGACATAGCCTTTCCTCTAAAGCCTCAAACCAGGAACTTTCATCACTTCTACCACTTCTATTCGCATCTAACAAAGGAAACCTACTCTCACATATGTATTTAGCTGGCAGGCAGGACCGTCATTTCCCAGTGATACCCTCAAGATTTTAAAGAGAAGGGCGGATTTTGATGGTTAGTATTTCCTGCCACATTCCATTTGGCTAAAGAAGTTGAAATACACCTGTTAAAACCATTGTGATGGCTAAACAATATACATCTGTCAGTAGCTTCTTCTTAGGAACAGCTAATTTCCTCTGTGCTTTAGACATACTCGTAATAAAAATTCATTCTGTGGTTAAGAAATTTTATTTTATTTATTTATTTTATTGTGAAAATACCCTACAGAAGGGTTACAATTACATGAATAAGGTAATGAGTACATTTATTATCAAGCATTGTTGCCTCCTCCTTTGTTTCCCCTTCCCATCCTTTCCCATCTCCCCCCCCTTCCCCTATCTCCGGCCTCCCCCACCAAAGTTGTAAAGTTCGTTAATAGACATAACGCCTTATACATCTCATTGTTGCAATGGGGCCACCTGTATCCCTATTTAAAGTTTGTTTTTCCCTTCCCCTCCACAAATTATACCAACATCAAATACAGTGAAAAACGGGGGTTATACCATTGGGGAGGGACATACAAAGCAACAAACAAATATCCTATAAATATGTTAGAAACAAGAAAGAAAAAAACAGTTGGGTCCTTATCTTGGAGTCCATTTCGCCTAACATCAACTTATCTGACCGTTTCTGCTTGTCTCAGATATAAACTAGTTATTGCAAATAAGGGAAACCATGGGGCCTATGTTCCTTTGGGCTTGGCTTACTTCCCTTAATATAATTTTTTCCAAGTCTTTCCATTTCCTAACAAATGGGTCAATGTCATGCTTTCTGATGGAGGCATAGAATTTCATTGTGTGTGTGTGTGTGTGTGTGTGTGTGTGTGTGTGTGTATACACATTTATGTGTGTGTGTGTGTGTGTGTGTGTGTGTGTGTGTGTGTGTGTCTGTGGTTAAGAAATTTTTATTGAGCTGGGATTAGAGCGCTTGCCTTGCATGCCTGAGGCCCTGGGTTCGATTCCTCAGCACCACATAAGCAAAAAGAAAAAAGCCGGAAGTGGTGCCGTGGTTCAAGTGGTAGAGCGCTAGCCTTGAGCTGAAGAGCTGAGGGACAGCGCCCAGGCCCAGAGTTCAGGCCCCATGACCGGACCCCCCCCAATTTTTTTTATTACATCCATACTATAAAGTCTTATGAAGCTGCTCAAAAGAATAATGTATATAGACTAGCTTGAAAGTTATCTTACATGAATGAAAAATATCCAGTGCACAATATGTATATTTGGAAATGTATAGCTAATCTTAGGGAGAATAATTAAATTGGTAATGATGGTTGCCTCTTTGGAAAAGGAGCAGTGTAAGTGGATATAAAACTGAAAGATGGACTTTGCACTGGATACCTGCTATATATTTTTTTAAATTTGCCTCATGCACAGATATTGCCTATTACAAAAATTTCCTTTGCACTCTTTGGTTGCAATTCTTTGGTTGCAATGATGGTACACGAGAGTCCTAGGGATATTTTTCCTGGCTGAATTGATCTATCTCAAACTAGCCTACCATTCTGTATTCAGGGTATCTTTATGACCATCTGCTACCACCTCCTGGAATGCAGCTGAAATGACAGAAGCATTCTAGAGTGTTCTTTCAGAAATTCAGACTACTTTTCAGCACCCCTGCAACACAAAGGAAAAGTTTTGGAGGACTTCCCAAAGTATCTATTGTGAGATATGTAATTGGGCAAAATGTCTTGGTGAGAGTTCTGGCTTTATTGGCAAGTGAGACTATTTATTGGGTGGTGAACAGAGAGGATTCTGTCCTGCATTTTCTATAAAAGAATGTTTCTACCTGTAAGTGGAGAAATAAGTAAAGACCAAATTTATCTTCATGTTCTTTAAAATAAATATAACTTGAACTTGAATATTTCATGTATTATTCCCAAGAAATCTAATTGTTCCCTTTGGAAATTTAGTAGGATCTAAAAATTTTGTAGGATTGTCGAATTCTTGCACCACATCCAAACTTTTGGTTCCACAATACACAGCCAGCTGGAGCAGTTTTCTAAAATGAGAGGTTTATTCAGATATAATCCAAGTACTATCAAACTCAGTTTAATAAAATGTATACAATTTAATGGCTTTTAGGATATTCACAGGGTTATATAATATCAACGCTAATCTCAGAACACTTCCAAATCACCCCCTCCCCCCAAAAAATTCTGTATCCATTAGCAGTTATTCTTCATTCTCTTTCCAGGTCTGTTTCTATGAATCTGTTTGTTCTGAACATTCCATATTAATGGGATCATACAATATGTGGTCTTTTTTATCTGGCTTTTCTCATTTATCATTATGCTTTCAAGGTCCACCCATGTTGTAGCATGAATCAACACTTCCTTCTGTAATCTCGCATTTTATGGA